AAAAAAAAAACAAACAGGTATGGTAGAACTTACACGTTTAACAGAATTTCACTAGAATAGGCCCTTAAAGAAGCCATGTGTTTAATAAGCCCTTGCTTCAAATGTTTTTGGATTGTCTCCTTTGGAACTGGCCTCAAAGCTCCATTTTGTAGTGACTTTTTTTTTCACTCACAGTGGGGTTACCAGTATTTCTTAGAACTAAGCATCTTTCGGATTTTCCAAAAACAAAATTCATTCGACTCAGAGGTTTTCCATTATTGAGAACATTCAAAAAAGAATGTACTCCAGGCTCTGTTTTTACTAAAGGGCTATTTTTAAGACAAAGCTTTGCTTCTTAGGCAATAAAACATTGCAGCAGCATCGCTGGGATGCCAGTCCTTCCAAGACAGCAGGGAGTAGCACTTACTAGGATAAATGTTATGGTATGTTTGCACCCAAATCAGTCTTTTTTTTACCATGAATTTATACCTTCTAGTATTAGTCAAGCTGGGCGTGGTGGTGCTCACCTATAGTCCCAGCTACTCAGGAGGCTGAGGCGGGAGGATTGCTTGAGCCCAGGAGTTTGAGGTTGCAGTGAGCTATGATTGCACCACTGTACTCCAGCCTGGATGACCCTGCCTCTTAAAAAAATCAATAAAATATTAGCATACACCAGACCCTTAGTGTGTACTAGTAAATGCTTACAGGGTTGATTTTGTTTCTGAATATGGTCAGAAATTTATGTAATTCCTAAGAAAATGAAATGCAGAAGATATAATTTTGTCACAGGAATTTGGGAATATATAATTATTATTTTAGTATTATGTAAGAGTCAACCTTCAGATAAAATCTATTCCAGCATTTCTCTTTTTGAGTAAGTGATCATTGCTCTCATTACTGTTGAAGGAATTATCTGAAGCTGAAAACCAGTTTAAGAGGATTATTGAACACTATCCCAATGAGGGGCTTGACTGCCTGGCCTACTGTGGAATTGGAAAAGTATATTTGAAAAAAAACAGGTCAGTAGAAACAACACTACTTTAAACTTCAGGCTGGAAACTCATTCAAAGTCTAATGTGATGATGATCCCTTTTCTGTGATTATTTTGATATCTTCTCCGTGGCACACCTTTTTAATTGTGATTTACTAGCATTTCACTATCAATTATTAAAACAAGGCCAATCTGTGCAGTTCCTGGTGCTTCTTAATTTTGAATCTAATAAGAAAGTCAATCAGAGTAATTTGACATGAAGGATTTAATACTCTTTACTATGTGTCATCTATAAGTAGTGACTTAGTTGATAACAGATTAATGATTTAAAAATCTGTATGATTTTTTGGTTAATTCTAAAAAATCTGTGTGGAAATGGTTTTAATAAGAGGTTTGTGTATGTTCAAAGACATCATGAGGTAGGAATAAAAATCTCTTCTCTGAGCTCTATTATAGTTGGAATCTCCTTATTCAATGTTTAATAAAAAGCTGTTCTCTGAATGTTTCATGTCTTAGTTCTGTCTTCCCAGATTGGTTGTCTGACCTTTAGGGGACAGAATTATGTCTTGAGCTTTAAAAAAAAAAATATCTGTTCCTGCCATTTGCACCCAATATAGTAGTAGGTAGGTTACTTTATAAAGAAATAATTGTTGACTGATTGAATATCATTCATAATAACTTTTACTTATCCTTAATGTCTCATCTAACTTGTTAGAGGAAATTTTATGAGACTCTTGGGAACCCAGTCTTAAAGTGTGTCTAGAGCCTTCTAAAAAAAAATCTTTTCAGGCCGGGCGCGGTGGCTCACGCCTGTAATCCTAGCACTCTGGGAGGCCGAGGCGGGCGGATTGTT